GGGATGGGGGATGGGGGGGGGGCTTCCTGGGGTAGAGCCTCTACCCTTCGTTCCCGCCCCTCTACCGTAGAGGGGCGGGAGCGAGGAGGGGCAGGATCAGGAGGGGGGCGGGGGAGGAGGGGGGGGGGGAGGAGGAGGAGGAGGAGGAGGAGGAGGAGGAGGAGGAGGAGGAGGAGGAGGAGGAGGAGGAGGAGGAGTGGGGGGAGGGAGAGCCCAGGGGCTTCCAGGGGACATCGGCGTTTGAGCGCTGGAGCTGGCGACCCCAGGACGTCCAGCAGAATGGGCCCGAGGGTGGCGACGAGCTGCCCCGCTCCATCCTCCTTTCGAAGGGGGGCGACGGCGAGTTGGACAGCGCAGCGGGTCGCCCCCGCGCCCTCCGGGAGTCCAACAAGGGGGGCCTTGGTAAAGTGAGCTTGATTGTGAGCGAGGCGGCCGTCTTGCTCGCCGCGCTCGGGGAGGATGGGCCGTCGGTGCATTTGCGAGTGATGTGGTCGGTGGTCAGCTCGAGGCTCAGCTGCGCGCATCTTCCCACGCAGGTCACGGGTTGGAACTTGGAGCCCTCCGGCGACAGTGAGACGGGACCAGCTGTGGCATCAGACGCGCTGGCGGCGGCGTGGGCCACCGTGGCAACGGGCCTCAAAAACTTGAAGGTGATCGCGGCCTCGCGCGGCATGGCCTCCATCACGCAGCCGGGTGACGACGAGACGATTGCGGCTTTGGGTCTGCCGCGCGTCTCTCAGCAGCAGCTCGAGGCGGGGATTGAGGGCGTGGATCGGCTCTGCAGGGCTCTCCTCCAGCGCGTGCAGGTCAAGGTCGCAGGTCAGCTGCGGCGCGGAGGCGAGAAGCTGGAGTCCCGCATTCCCCAGTGCAAGGAATGCGTGGTGGACGTTTTCGACGCCGATCGAGTTAAGGCCGAGCTCTGCGAAGTGGCTCGGGAAGGCTTTGCAGAGTCACGGTGCGTGCTCGCCAAGATGCGCGCGAGGGCCAAGCTGTTCAGCCGCGCGATCGCGGGGCCCAAGTTCGACGACGCCAACGCTGCCTCAGCGCCCGTCGCTGACCGGGCTCTGCGCGCAGGCCGCGCGTTCGTGGCGGTGGCGTCTACGTGCGAGCTCATCCTCGTCACTTTGCCGAACGCGAAGAAGTCGGATCGCCTGGCAGTGCTGAAAACGCATTCGAAGCGGGTCGTGGGATCTGTTCTTCCGCCCAGTTTGACCGCGTACCTCGAGAAGGAGAAGGGGGGGCTGCAGAGCATCGTGGACAGGGCCAGCGTTGCGGAAGCTGCTGTTGTAGCTGATGCGACTGCAGCCGGGGGGGGTCGAACCCGACGTTGGAGGCGAGGCCAGGGCTGGACGCGCTTGAGCCTCAGCTCGCACGTTGAGCTTCAGGGGGGGCGGGGGGGGCGGCGGGGCACGGGGAGCGGGAGAGGGGGGGGGGGGGGCGGAGTCAGAGGGGGGAGGGAGGGGAATGCTGCGAATGTTTAACTTGGACAGGTTGCCGGCCAGTTGCCAGTCGAGCTAGTGCAGCAGCGGAGCGTCGGCGACGAGTCGAGGGTTCGATGTTAGACTCGCCGGCCCTCTTCTGGGGACTCTTGGATGCTTGCAGTGCTGCCGCCGACCAGCGAAAAACTCAGAGGAGAATGTAAAGTTTCGGGTTGGGGGATGGGTCAGGGCGATCATATGTTTCTTGTTCTGGACAGGGCCTGGGGCTCGTTGACAGTCGAGGGCGAGTCTTGTGTTTGGGTTGCCGTGATTGTCGGCAGCCACTGCAGGTCAACTTAGGGTCGATTCATCGATTCCGTCTCAGCGGCAACGGCAGCATTGATTTTCGGCTGCCGCTGGGTTGGCTTCGGCGTCGCACGCCCGATGCGCTGCCCGTGGGTGGCCATGCGCCCCGATCGGCCCCTTTCGCTTTCAAGGATTCGGCGACCGGGTTCATTCTGTCATTTCCCCGCCCCTCGCCTCGCTCCATCTCGTTTCAGATTCGTCTCCTTGAGCCTCTCTCCACCCCCAAACGCGCCCGCCCTGGCTTCGCGTCGCGTTCTCGTTTGCGTCGCGCGCCGCGGCGGGGAAGTCGCGTCGGCGCGCGCTTGTTGTTCTCGTTGCTTGCTGCGACTTGCAGTTGCAAGTGCTCTGACTCAGACCGCGTGGGACGATTGGGAAATCGTTGGAACAAGAAACAAAAACTGGCGTCGTGCTTGCTCTCTGCCCTCCCCGACCCCCCCCCCGCCTCCTCCTCGCCCTCCCCTGCGCCCCCTACCCCGCGGCGAAAAGGGGGGGGGGGGGAAGAGGGCGAGGAGTGGGGTGGAGGGATGGAGGAGGGGGAATGGCAGAGGAGCGGAGGTCTAGGGACGAGGTGAATGAGATGATGAGGTGACTGTGGAAGGAGGCCCTCCCACACTTCCCATCCTCCTGGGTCCTCCTCCTTTTCTTCCCTCGTGAGCTCTACTGCCCCACCTCTTCCCTTCTCCCTTCTCCCTACTGCTCTCCACCTCCCCTGCTTCTCCCCTGCAGTCTCACTCCCCCGATCCCCGTCTCCCTTCTCTCTCGCTGGTGCCGGGGGGCCGCGCGCCGTTCGCGCGTCGCCTGTCGCGGCCTGCCCGCTCTCTTTATTTCGGGGGCAACTTCCTCGCGCAGGCTCGCCGTGCTTGCTCCCCCGTGCTTGCATTAATGTGCCGGTGGATGTATGTGTATACATACATGTTTACGTCCACACGTGTATGTGTTCGTGTGTGTGTTTGTGCAGGCACGCGCTCGTGAGTTTATACGTATACGCGTTTGTGTCTACATAGGTGCACGTAAGCACTTTGTAACACACATTCTTAATTGCCATGGCCGTTATTCTGTCACACGTGTCATACACCTGATTTTTGCATCCTTTTTATATTATAAAAATTCATGTAAAAAACACATACACGTCGGCCTGCGGCAGGTGTCCTACAATGACAAAGTGGGGATGGTGGTCAACTTCGAGAATGGTCGGGTCGGCGTCTCTCTCGCAGGGGGTCCTGGCAAGAGCTTCAAAGCTGTGAACCTCAGGGTGATGCAGCGCGAGAGCCCCCTCGATGGCGAAATGCCTGACTCGCCCGTTCAAGAATGGAAGCGAGCTTCTGGCGGAACATGCATGGGATCTTCTTCTTTGCTGTCTTCGACAGCTTCAACTTCTACTTCTGAGCTGGCTTCCGCCGCCTGCTAAGATGAACAGACCTATTGTGTACGAGTGACATATACACAAACAACACATATATACATACATACATACATACATACATACATACATACATACATACATACATACATACATACATACATACATACATATATACATGTTTATCTGTATGTACAACTACACACTCAATGATGCGATCCTCCCTTTCCCTCCTCCTCTTCCTCCTTCTCCCTCTCCCCTTTCCCCTTTCCTCTCTTTCCTCCCCTTCCCCCCCCTCTCCCCCCCCCCCGCCCTTCCCCCCCTCTCTCTGCGCCCCTCCTCCCGCCCCCCCCCGCCCTTCCTGCCCCCTTCCCCGTCCCCCTTCCCCCTCTTCTACCCTCCCCCTTCCTCTACCCCACCCCCCCCTCTGCCCCCTCCCCCTCCTCCTCCCTTTTCTTACCTCTCACGCAGTAAGCACTCCTTGCGGGGGGGATCAAGTAGCACCCCGCAGTTGCGGATAAGAGAGAGTGGGCGGTCGCGGGGCCGTCGTGGGGCGGTCGCGGGTGGGTCGCGGGTGGGTCGCGGGCTGGGCCCGCGGGCTGGGTCCGCGGGCGGGACGAGTGCCAATCAACAAACAACACACAACAACAAATAAACAACAAACGCAACCACCATCACCACCACCACAACAGCAACCACAACCACAGCCACAGCCACAGCCACAGCCACAGCCACAACCACGACAACAACAACAACAATATCAACACCAATAACAATAACACTACCAAAAACAACAACGCCAACAACAACACCAGCAGCAGCAACAAACCAACAACAACACCAGCAGCAACAACATCAACGACAACACCAAACATACTATTACTGGAGCCTTAATACTTATCATAATCCTACTAACCGTACTCATCAACACAAGTAACAACAACAGTAACAACAACAATCCGCACCGCGGTCGCCCACTTCAGCCGCGCACCCAGGGACAGTGCATGACCGCTCGTTCCCCTCACTCTGATAACATCGGCAAGTCACCTCTGCTGCATTTTGCGGGACGGATCGATATGCGAGGGCCCCAGGGGCCCGGGCGGGGAGAGCCTCGGGGCGCACGATTAGCGGGGCTCCGCGCAAACGGGGCTCAGCCAAAACGCCAGATCCTAACGCGGGAGTTTGGCTGAGCTGGGTTCGGGAGCCGCTCGCGGCCATGGAGGTGGCCTCATGTACGCGTTGGCTGAGCCGGGTCTGAAAAGCCCCCCCCCAAAAAACTGCAGCGCAGCTTGTCTGAACAGGCCGAGCTGGCTTTGCGCTGAGCCTGGCTAGTCCACGCCCGAAAGAAAACGTCCGGCGTGACGAGCCCGCAGCGCCGATGCATCGCCGATGCGTCGGCGGTGCGGCGCGACCCTCCGACCCCGTCCATCACCACCCACCAAACCACCCCAACCCAACCCGAAGGCTCAGATTTACCCTCGGTTTCCAGTAGGGGGGCGGGTCGGGAAACATAGAAAAAACATGTGGAGGCCTTACCCCCCCCAACCCGAAATTCGGGTCTTCGGGTTGGGTTGGGGTGGTATGGTAGGTAGTCAATCCACTCGGACCCTGTCCGGGAGGGCTATAGGACGTCGAGCTGCTGTGGCCCCGGGCCCCGACGCTGGGCGACACACTGCGCGGAAGTGAGGCTGTCACTGCTAAGGGGGCCACATGCGAACCCTACCCCTATCCCCCACGACTTCTGAGGCGGAGGGTGGGGTTCACTTCGCTCGGGAGCTCCAGAACGAAGTGAACCCCACCCTCCCCCTCAGAAATCGTGGGGGGCGGGGGCAGGGTTCGCATGTGGCCCCCTAACTGCAACGCCTGGATCTCTGGGTGGCCCGCGCGTCGCCGATGGCTGCTCGCCGCCCCGCGCTCCTGGCCCTCGGCCTCGCCGCCGCCAGCGCGTGGCTGCTGAGCGGCGCCCTCGCGCCGCCTGCGCCGCGGGGTTTCGTCGCCCCCTCGCCGGCCCGGGCCCTGCGCGCGGGGGGCGGGGCGCTGGCGGGCGCGGGGGCCGAGAAGGCTCCACGGGGGGGCAGGGTCTCGGGTTCGAAGGGCTGGGCGAGGGCTTGTAAAACCGTGGCTGCTAAAGCGGCCCTCCCGGAAGGAAGTAGCAACTTCCCAGAATGAGGCGCGGCCCGCGAAACGGTCAACGGGCTTCGTCCCGGAAGGACTTCCCGGAGGTTGATTTTAGCAGCCACGGATTTAGCAGCCCTTGCCCGGCTTCCGACAGGTGTGGGCTTGGGGCTCACGGGACGGGGGTCAATGCAAACGGGGGTCGGCCAGGGCGCCGGGTCTGGAAGGATCCTGCAGAGCCAGGGCTGCATGCTCTGGGCTTGCGTGCAGGATCCTGCAGGATCCTGCCAAGCCTGACTGGCCTGGGTTTGCGTTGACCTTTGTCAGTGCGTCCCCGACGGGCGTTACAATTTCTTCATGCCGGGCGGTTTCACCTGGTGTCGGGTCCCGGGGCCATCACTGATCGATTTTCTAGCCCTCCCAGATGGGGTCACATTAGATGGGGTCGGGGGACTGCGCCGCATCGCCGATGCATCGGCGTTTCGGGTCGATGTGCAGCCCGATTTGATCTCCACGCCGGCCGCCGATGCATGGGCTATGCGGCGGGATCCTCCGACCCCATCTACTCGTTCCCCATCTACTAGAACAGGCTCTCAGCATGCCGCAGAAAGACGAGGCCTATCTAGGGCTCCGGTCGTGATGTGCTGCGCTGCCATTGTCGCAACGGCGGATCTCAGGGGAGGAGCGCACGGGCACATGCCCTGACCTTCAACGTGTTGGCAGGGCTCGAGGCGGAGGTTGTGCGCAGCTTTTGGCGTCTTGGGGCCCTCGCCTGGCCCGCGGGGCCGTCCGAGAGCGCCCCTCGACTGGGCAGCCGGTCCCGGGGAGGTGGTCCAGAGCTCCGAGGGCTCCGTGCGGTGGGGACGTTGGTGAAGGGATGTGTCACGGAGGCTTCGGACCCTGCTTGGCATTGCTCGGACGTGAGCATTTCTTGGCGATGACCGAGGACCATCGAGGAGCATCCTGGACCATCGAGCAGAAAACATGCACGGAGCCGAAAAATGTACGGGGAATGGACGTCCGAGCGACGGCAAGCCTGGAGGGCGGCGGCGATATCGGTGGCCACTTCCACAATTGGAGCTCCACTGGCTTCCAGATCTTGGATTCCTGATCCACTGGTTCCTTCTCCAGTGCCCTCGTCGTATGGGGAGCATCAAGGACGTCAGATGTCTGGGTCGAGCGGCCGTCCGCGGGCGGTTTTCTTCTCCTGTCCAGGGCCGCAGGGGATCGGGACACTGCTGGCCATGGCTTTCCAAGCCCATTTGACCTCAGGCGATCTGGGCCTGCGATCCGATCGATCGGTCGGGTTCGATCGGCGCCTGCCGCCCGATCGATCCCGCCTCGCAGGCCGATCGCGAGGTCGGGCTCAGCGCGCCGCGGATCGGCGATTCGCCGCCTCCGCTGCCGCGCCCTGGCCTCTGGCGGCTGCCGCGCGCCTTCGGCGCGCCCTGGAGGGGCCCGACGCCCCAGGAGCCCGCCTGGCACAGGCGGCAGAGAGAACGCCGAGCCGCTGCACGGGCTCTTCTTCGTGTCGTGAAGGCGGCCGACCTTCTCAGCGGCCACCACTCCGCGCAGCAGCACCAGCGCTCCCAGCAGCACGTGCAGCAGGACTTCGAGACCAGCGCGATGGCAGCCAACGCAAAGTCTCACGGTCATCCAGTGGGTGCCAAGCCGTGGCCATGGAGGTCAAGCACACCAGCATCTGGCTCCTCTCACCGCCGACACCACGGAGGGCACGGACAGCAGCAGCCACGGTACCAGCCCCAGCACAACCAGCACCACCACACCTCCTACCACGACGAGGACCGACAGCAACACAACTACGCCCAGCATCAGCAGCAGTATCAGTACGACTGCACCACAGCGAGAACGAAGCGGCCTCCCTCGAGACGACGCCGCCTGGCCCCCGAGGATACCACCAACGACCACCGACATCTGCCAAAGATGACGAAACGACAGTTGGAGGTCACTGACAAGGTAATGCCCGCTTTGCTTTCGGATGCCAAGGGACATGAAAGTTTTTCTCTTCCTCCCGACGAGCCAGACATACGTCGGGTCTGGCACGCGACCAAGGTGGCGAGGATGGCACGTCTTGCCGACCAAGTCCTCGGAGCCAGGCAAGCTCAAGTTGACCCAACCCGCCTGATCGAGGAGCTGGCCATAGTCAAGACCATGCTACATCTATTGGACACGCCGACGGCTCGCATCGCTCAATATAGATCTCAAGTGGAGTCACGGATCCAGAGACAGCAGATCGTCGACAGCCAGCTTCACAACCTCAATAAGGAGCACGACGAGATCAAGCGCGAGATCGCATCCCTCAAGGCCCTCATCTCCGAGGCCAAACAGCATCGAGAACATGCTGACCTTTCGGAAGACAGTTGTGACGGGGATGGTGAAGATGACGTGCGCCACCGTGTCAGGGGCAAAACACCACACCCTGAGGGACGACAGCGACCACTAGTTCGTCAACCTGCGTCCGAGCCAGCACCTGCTTCGACTACCAACGACGACAGCGACCTGCGGAAACTCATTGACGTGCTGACGAGGAGAGTGGATGAGCAGCAGCGCAACCACGGGATACACCAACACCATCTGGCGTTTCTCCATCATGAACGTGCCGAATCTGATCAACACGAAGCACAGCGTCAACTGCAGACCGAGCAGATTCAGGAGCTTTCGCAACATCTACAACACTGCCAGGAACAGTCTCAGCAAGCACAACTCCAGCAGAGACAGTCGTACTACGACGAGATCCAAGTCTTCCGACGGCGCGAGGAGCGACTCCGACACGAGGCTCGCGAATCCCTCACGGAGAACCTGGCTCACTACCAGCAGAAGGAGGCCCACCTGCGCGACCAGCTCAAGGAGGAAGAGTCAGCGCACCTCGCCACTTTCATCACCCAGAGGAAGCAGGAGGAAGAGACTTTCCGACGCCAGCTACACGAGAACGCCGAGATCATGGTCCAACAATATCAACAACGCTGCCACGAACAACAGCAACGTCTTCTCTCCGAGAAAGCTCAGGCTCAGCAGGACATCAGCAACATCGCGAGGCTTGAACAGAACCAGCTTCAGGATGCCAAGGAGCTACTCTTGGAGGAGTTCGGACAGGTCCAGGCTCAGAAGTACCGCACTTTGACGGCCCAGAGCGAGTACAACAGCGAGATCGACAGGCTTCGAGGCACCTCCCGTGACATGCAGCGCTTCGAGAACGAACTCCAGGAGCAGCACCAACTCCAACTACAGGAGCACCTTCAGCAACACAGACAGGAGCGCGAGCGACTGCACTGCGAACTACAGCAAGCCCACGAGTTCGGCACCAGCATCGACGTGGACATCCTCAGGGAGCTCGACACACAACTCCATGAACGAGACGAGGAAGACGCACGACTGCAAGCCCAAGCAGACGCTGAACAAGCACAAGTCGACCAACAGATTCAAGCGGCACTCGACCTGCTGACCCCACCTTCTACCTCCGAGGACTCGGGCTATCAACTCTACCACAGAAACGGCGGCAGCAGCAGCGGTGGACAGCCCAGCAGCAGCGGAAAGCGCAGCAGCACACCACTACCACGACCGACACCTGCGACGCCAACCGCCACTCCCACTGCGCGACGCCCATGCCACGACGCCGACGACGCCAGCGTGCACACTCCAATCCCAGCCGACGACGACGACCTTTGCAGCCCAACCCCTGTTGCGAGCGACGCATATCCCTTCCCTGCCCCTACGCCATTACCTACCCCCGCCTTGCATACGCCAATCCCCACCGAGCAGCCTACGCCCATCGACTTCCACCCACCCGACCTGCAGAATGACCGACCCAGCTCAGCGCCACCACCACGCACCAGAAGGACAGACTCAACTCGACACACCCACCCATCCACTACTCTCCTCATTGACATCACTTCCGACGACGACGCACCACCACCTTCCACCCCAGTGCGCATTCCACTAGCCGACATTTCCCCTACCGCACCGATGCAGCCACTCCAACCACCACCCCGCTTCCACCTCGCCACGCCCGACCGCGCCACCTCTGCTCCTCCACCCCGCACCGCTCTCCGCAAAAACGGATCATCTAGCCGAGCGGCCAAGCCCAAGAAAGTCCGTATCTGCGACATCGGAGACGGCTTCGCAGACCCAGGAGACCGCGTGCCAGCCTTCCTCGACGACGAGGAAGCCCCTGCGGTCAACCCACCAAAAAACTAACGAGGCCCTCACCCCCTGGGGGGCAACTGGCCCAGGGGGAGCGGCCCAGCATCATACCAGAAGACTGCCAGCGCAACGACGGCACTTCCGACTCCTGCAGTGGTTACGCCGACGACGTCATGCGCCGACTATTTGAGCCCCTGGTGAGCCCCGATTCACCATACGACACTTCACAAGTTTCACCTACCATCTCATCAGCCACTAGCGGCATGCGCGTGGGGGAGAGCGCACCTCCAGATCTTTACGAGCATGGCGACGTGTGGGAAATCCACACACCGCCCAACATGCTACAGCCTAGTAGTGGACCGTGGACCATCCCCTCGGCCTCTACCTCTCGCTTGGGGAGCGCGAGAAGGCTGTCTCACACAGATCCCACACTAGAACCACATACGCTAGCGGACCGACCAACTACCGCCACCCAACCTCGACGGCAGCATGTCGACTCACATCCTCCACCAGCGGAAGCCCAGTCACGGTCGTTCCCGACGATGACGACGCCACCGCCTACGCCTCGAGAGGAAGCATCGCTTTGTGAGTACGACACGGGGGGGGGGCATGGTATTTCAGAGCCGCCAGAACGACCAGAGGCACCAACAAGGCATCGACGCACTAGCCATTTTGGCCAAGATGGCGATCGAGACCGACAATTTTGTGACTCACCGAGCCGGCCATGTACATCAACTTCCTGCCGGCCACAACCTCCCATTTTTGACTCCCTTGACGCTACCCAG